CTGGACGGATCCTGAAGAAAACGGTCGACAGTACGGGGATATGAAATTTGTGGTAATGGACAGTCAGGTCCTTTCCTTGATGGGCCGTTGGGTCGGAGGTTGGATGGCCCAAGGCCGCCTGACCTCCGTGACTATCTTTGGCGGAGGGGAGGAGGGGAGTTGGGGTGGGGAGACAGGCCTAGGAGATGGGAGGATCCGCCGAGTCATTCTCAATGGCCTACCTCTGACCGAAGCTAATGTTCAAGTAGAACCTGGAGTGGTACGGTTGACCAAACTGCGCGTCTCCCTCAATAGCCCCTTTACCATGACCTGGAGTGGGTAGAGACAAGGGGGAGTAGAGTAAAAAAAATTGGGATATACTAATAGTATTAAGTCTTATCAATAATTAAACGTAATGGATTGTGTATGTTGAGAAAATGGAAAATTAAACAAAACCAATGATTGGATGGATGATGATTTATTATTAAGACGGAATAAAGCACAAGCACACACACACACACACAAATATGAATAGATAGCCTTAGAGACGGAAAGCTCCCCCTACCTCATTGATCCGTCTTGTCCTTGGCCTTGTTAGAGCCTACCGAAGTAGCCGAGGGAGAGGAGGGGACGGAACGAGATGGAGTTCTAGGCCCTTCATCCTCCTCCCCAAGAGGTCCTAGGACACCAAGCTCCCCGTGCTCCCCCCCGACATCTCGGACTTCACAGCCTTGGGCTTTGAGCTCAGCCATGAGACGCTTTAACTCTCTATCCTTGGCCATGGACTCGCGCCGTAGCCTCATCTTCAGCTCAGCCTCCTCATCCTCCCTTGCCTCCCGCTCCGATCGTTCCTCAGCCGTCTCAGGCTCAGTGAACTCTTCAGCTGTCACAGGAACCCCAAGACGCTTGAGAAGACGGGGCATGGCCGCCCGATAACCCAGATGACCTTTGAGCTCCAGTGAAACATCCATGTTCTCCAGTCGGCACACCCCTTCAATGGGTGCCAATCCCGCCACTGGGTATCTCGCTACCGTTCTGTACAAGAAGCCTAATGTGAGAAGAATGGCATAATTAGTCAGAGAGATCGTCCACAATTTACAATGAGATAAAAGACCTACCGAGTACCCAATCGTTTTTATGATAACAGTTGACTAATCGACCGCCCACAACACTAACGGCTTCAGTCCAAAGTTCATTGGAGGCGGTGACGGGGGCACCGGCAAAGTAGACATCCTCGACAATCCCATAAGCATGAACCCTAGCCAATTCGACGAGACAGTAGAAGATGACTCGGGCGCCCAGAGAGTAGCCCACTAGAGTGACTGGCCGATGGCCTTGCATGTGCTGGAGCAGGGTGTCAGCCAGGATGAGCCCGGCCTTCCTGGCACGATCAAGACCGACCGACCAGGGATTATCCACGAGATACCCGAGCTTACTCAGGGCCAGGGGCCACATGAGACCAGCCATAAGGGTACTGAGCATGGTGTGACCTAAAACCGTCTGAACGGCCTGACCAAGTAACTAGAGGAAAGGAAAGATTGAGATAATGGAATGAAAAGGAAGGGAAGGGAAATAATGGAATCCTCCGGGAGCACGTACCTCGCCAGCGAGAATCTTGAGGACATTATCCAATTCGGTCAGCATCTCTGGTTCCCACATGAGACAGAATTGATCGCCAACAATGGGATCGACAGTGGAGAAGGGTAGCCAAAAGTCCTCATCCCTCGAGAGCATACCAGAGACACAGAGGAGAAGGTTTGCGCGTTTATCATCAACCACGGGATGGAAGTCAAAGAAGGATACACCCTTGGTGCGCTTATGCATCTTTTTCCCGGCCAGTCCACTGCCAGTGAGGACGCCGCCCGTGGTAATGAGAGCCATCCCGCCGGCTCCGCCCATGAAGGCGCCTGTTCCTGCCACACCAATGCCGGTGAAGCCCGCAGCAAGTCCAGCTCCAATCACTGGAGCGAGGAGGCCGGCGCTCAGACCAAGCATTAGGCCGCCCCCTACGGTGGCAAGGCCCATCATGGCCCACCTTGCCCCCCTTCCATCCCTGTTCCGCTTCTCACTCACACTTTCCTCGGCACGCATAGTGCTGGCCACTTCCTCGCTCATGCGCAAGTGCTCAGAGATGCGCAGCTCCATGCCAACTACATCTATCCAAGGGACACCCAAATGCTCGGAGATCTTGCGCAGGAGATTCCGACCACGAGAGTCGTACTGAGAGTCAGCCACGAGGATGAGGAAGAGGTCAGCGAGAACGGCCCATCGAATATCTGTCCGGATTCTCTCGGCTTGCTCCTCTACCGACAATGGGATAATTCCAGTGGGGACGACCGGTAGGTCAGCTGCTCCATCTTCACTCTCTTTCTCCGTGGTTGATGAGGTCGTGGGAGTGGAAGGTGGGAGTGGGGGCAATGGAGGCTCGCTGGAGAGTGAGGTATGAGAAGAAGTGGGTGGGATAGGGGAGCCTGGGACCGAGGACATGCCCAGCTCTGGTGAAGTAGGCAAGGGGACATCGGTGGGTCGGATGGATACCCCCCGCATGACTGGAACACTATATGACCTAGCAGGCATCATTGGAGGGGAAGGAGGGGAGGAAGGGGAAGTGTTTTCCTTGGTTTCAAGGCTCTTCTCCTCTTTACTTTCTTCTTTGACTCCTTTATCCTGCTCCTCATCCTTTGTCTTCTCCTCCTTATCCTTTGTCTCCTCCTCTTCTTCCTTGTCTTCTTTTTCCTCCTCGTTCCCCTCTTCTTTTTCCTCCTCCACCTTCTCATAACCAAGGGTAGAGGCAAAGTCAGAAGGGAGAACGCCATGAGCGTTGAGCTGTTCAATCATCTTTTGCTCCTCCTTGGTGATATGCATGTGGCTGTAGAGAGCTCGAAGAGTCTTTCGACTAAAGTTCATGGCAGAGGCCCAGGCCATATCTTCCTTTCGGACCTGATTCCTACCGGCGGTATAGGCCTGAGAAAGAGTGAGGTAAACGATGCCGACATAGGCGATTTTTTGAGCACCCTGAAGGATAGAATCGGCGTCCAAGGAAACCTCCTCCATGCCCTGAGGCGACTTCCTCAAGCCTGTCCCCTCGACCCCCTCCTCCTCCTCTCCACTCATTTGGCTCGAGACGTCAACGCCTTCAAGGGTGCCTGGGCCAATGGGGATCTGAATGATGGTCCGTCTCCTCTCCCCACTCTGCCGATGGGGAGAGGAGAGTTCACTATCCATAGACTGGGTATCCCAGCCATTCCCCCTACCAGAGGAATTGACCCGCGCATCTTCCTCAAGGATGGCCGCGGCATGCACGGCAGCCTCGGCCTCTGCGGTTTTGAGCTGCTCCTGAAGAATTTGTTCTGCCTCGGCCCTAGCAGCCTCCTCTTCCTCCTTTCTCTTACGAAATTCCTCGGCCTCCCTCTCCTCCTGACGTCTAGCTTGTTCCTCCGCCTCCTGACGGGCTTCCTGGGCCGATGCACGGATCTCCGAGATGATGCTCTCCTCAGTAGAGAGAACAACATTGCTCCCTGCCCTTGCCCTTCCTGAGAAACTGGAAAAGGGGGAGGTGGGGTTATCTATGCCCATATCATCCTCATCGTCGTCCATATCGTCCCAGGCATCGGTGAAGAGCTTTTTGGGGCGACGGGGGCCATTTGATCTTTCCTCAGATGCCACGTCCTCAATCTGCCCCGCATCGGCCTCATTAATGTGATCAGCGGAGGATGAGCTGGGTAAGAAGTGGTCGTTCGCAATGCCTAGTCCAGAGACAGCATCCTCCTCGATAACATCTGGTCGAGGGGAAACCTCATCTGATGGGCCCGGGGAGGGGTCCAGTTGGGCGCGAAAGGTAGAGAAAGAGTAGAAATCGTTGACCTGTTCCTGGCCCACCCCCCAATCCTCCTCATCGTCCATGACAGTCGTTTGTCGACGACCCGATCGGATATCTTCCTGCAAGGCGGACGTTGGGGAGGAGCCATGAGGATCGCCAAAAGTATCGGCGCCGGGTGAAGAGGAGGAAAAGTCTATGGGGGAGGCAAAGTCACCCCAATCATCCTCGTCCTCGTCGTTGATATGCTGAAACGCCGGATTCGCCTGGTCTCCGGAAACCTTCAGCGGAGGGGGTGAGGGGGATGATGTAGTGTGGGAGGGGGAATCAGTCAGTGAGGAATCGGATGTCCCCCCAGCCTTGACTGATCCATCCTTGTTCAACGACATGGTGTTGACGGAAGAGTGGGAGAGAAGGCAAGATATGGGGGGAGGGAGAGGGGTAGCAGCTCAGGAGGACAGGAGAGTAGATGGTGCTGAAAAGGGGTAATCTAAGCGAGCGCACTGGATGATACGGAGAAAGGGAAGAGGTGGAAAGGTAGACGCGATCAGGAAAAAAGAAGGATCGAGAAGGAAGAGTGAGTAAGTGTCGGGATAAGAAGAGAGGAGAGGAGAGGGGGGGGCGGAGCAGGAAAGCACTGAAGAAACCCTTCTGGGGGGAAGGGGTGACTAGAGAGGGAAGGATAGTCCCTCATCGGTCGAGAGAGAGATGAAGCGTATAGCCAGGGGATGTAGCACACCTTGAGCGGAGAGAGTGGGAAAGGACACCTCGCCCATTCTTCCAGTGTAGATGTATGGGCCCTGGTTCAGATGATGTGCTGAACTGACCTCCTCCTTGCTGTCCTGCCCTGAACCAAGGAGAAGGTTGGCGGAGAAGGGGATGGGGGGGGGGAGGGGAACACCTGCCTCCCCTTAACCTTGACTATCTCCACCTGCGCACAATCTGCTTATGGAAGAGGATCCTTAATCATCCTAATAATAGTAATAACAATAACAGTAATACGACCAGGGTGCTAACAGACGGCTCACTCGACAGAGTCCTGGCATATCATTTCCAAGATAAATGGGAAACCCGGAGGACAAAGATACTTCGATATGGCTATCTTGCAAAAAGACCACATCACTGAATGGTAAGGCAGTGGGGCATGAACGACGGTAAATATCGCTTTCCCCTTCCCTCCCCCCTATACCACAAAAACAAAAAAAGGTCCTGCTGGGAATTGAACCCAGATTATGAGAGTCAGAGTCTCATGTGCTAACCATTACACTACAGGACCA